AGGGGTAGTAGTGCTACAGAAGGGCAATCTGAGAACTCAACAAGGTAATGTAAGTAGAGCATTCAGCGCAGTGTCAGGAATATGACAAGTGATTATGTAGTTCATCAGGATTATTACCCTTCTCATTGTGGGAGGTGTTTGACATGAAGCCGAAATCATCGCTGAGTGGAGTTCTGGCAGAGAGACTCACGGATGGGTCTGACGCATGAGATGGCTGTTACTTCGAAATGCTAACTGGGTGTAACTAATAAAAATCGGTTTGAACAGCCTCTGGAACCTGTCAACCTTTCTATGTGACCTTGAATATTGTAACCTTCTTGTTTTCAATTCTCTGTGATTCAGTTTCATTACCTTTAAGATAGAGATATAATAACAAAACTTCCTTGGATTGTTGTAAGGATAAACAGAGAAAATACACATAACAATTTTAATGCCCAACATGCTGATTTTTCTATAAATGTGAACACTTTTATAATGCTGAAGTAGCTGGAAATGGATTATTGAAAGACTCAGGACTTGAGATATGTTTGAAAAATACTAAAAATTTAGGTAAGTGAAAGACAGTAGCAAGGTTATTCCCATAGAAATATCTTGGACAATGCATGGAGATGGAATTAAGCACTGTGTGATCATTGAACAGTGAGGCGATGTCTCCAGTTAGATGAAGTTGGCTCTTGGTGATTAGTTAGAAATCAAATTGGAGGGGATGAGTAAGGAAGAACCTCAGAAAACCTTTGGTTTAGGATAGTAAGCAGTAAGAGGGACATTCCACATGTGCTCAGGTAAGGGAACAAAACATACCTATGATATTTTAAAATAATCTTATCGAGTTTTCAGAATAAATTGCCTTCCTTATGCTTAAAAAATTATGGATGCTTTTTTGCAAAGCCTTCTTTAACCTAGAAATAGAAGTTCTATTTTAGGGCAATTTCTATTTCAGAAAGTCCAAGACATGTTTCTTCCACAAAGTTTTCCCTTCCGATTCATATCACAGTAGTTTTCTTTTTTGTCTGAATTTCTTAGTATTCAAAATGATGATCTTTATATTTGTATCATCCATCATCATCATCTTTTGAGGGTGAATCTGAATTCAAGATATGTTGCCAAATCATTTTATATTAAATCTATAAAGAATTATTCAAAATTCTTAAAATGGTTTTGCTTTAAAATGAGGCCCGTTAAATTAATGAAACTGGTATTTCTGGGAGGCTTGTAAGTTGGTTCTGAAAAGATAGATCCCACAGGAAAGGGCCAAAATTATATTACACACTATACATGAATGGATTGAGGCACAACTTCTCAAAGCAACTCTTCGAAAAAGACAACACTTTATTAACTGCACTGAATCAGTAATTAAGTCAAAAACAACCGTCATCATTTATAGTGATGCAAACAGTATCTAGTCTATTAAAATTATTCATACATATAAGCGCCTTGGGAAAAAGGATCATGACATTATTTTCTTTATTTATAATTTATAGGGGAAGTGTGAGTACTGGCTTCCTGCTTTATTGAATTAAAATGAAATTAGAAGAATATAAGCAACAAGAAAATCATTTCTCTGGTGAGGAAGTTAGCACAGGTGTTCTGCATATTTCCTAGCCTCATTCAGTACTTTCTTTTGGTTGTTGGTGGCCAGCAGGAGCAGAAGAGCAACAAAAATTTGGCATTTCAGTGGAACAGCTGATTGATAGTTATGATACTCCAAGTGGACTTGATTGTATTTTTTTTCTTGGTAGCTTCTCAGCTATTGCATGACTTTCTGGAATTTTGAATTATACCCCCATCTAATCAGGCATGAGAATGGTCAGGAATTCTATTTAAAACAACAGCAACAAAAAACAACTAATACACTCTTATGCTCAAAGGAATGAGCACAGACTACCACAGGGACACAAATTTGACAAAAAAAAAATCATTAAAATGAAATATAAAACCTCAGGAGAATGAAGGGTTGAGAATGACCTGCTCCCTTCTATCTTCTTCCCAATGTGTTTTTTGAATGTCTTATGAGGGGATTTAAGGCTTTTCTACACCTGCTACTGGCTTGGCCAATTCATTCCTTCAAGCCACACCAATAAAAATGTACAAAGTCCTCTAATCCCCGAGAGGTGGAAAATGAGATGGGTGTGAAGTTTACTTTAGCAGAAGGCTTTCTTGTAGCAAATCAGAAATTCCACCACACATATTCCTATTCCTCCAGATAACTGGCAAGGGGATCATCAGAATGAGCTATTGCCAAGAGCTACCTGCATCTTCACGGTTCCAGTGTGATGGGGCCCCAGACCAGAATTGCAAAGTAGTTAAGAGAATCTTGGAATATAAAACATGGTACAGAACACCAAAGAAGATTTAATCTTATTTATAGAAAGGTGGTTGATGGGGGGGGGGGACAAGAGAAGAGAGTGGCTTGAGATCATCATTAATCATTTTGTAAGTACCAACAAAGTGAAAACATCCTTCCAGAATTCACTGCAAGTGACACTGAATCCTTCTACTAAGCAAATATGTGATGAGTTGATAAAAAAAAAAAAGAAGAAAAGAAGGTCCTGAACTCTTGACTACAGATATAATACAGTGAATATAGAAAATCAAAAACATGCTTTCTATCTGACTCGAAATAAAGGTGCACTTAAACTTGTAAAAGACAACATTTTTATTTGAATGATATGACAGAACTGTCACAGGAGTGTTACCTGCTATAAAGAAAGCCAAGAATTATTACCTTTATTAGACCAGTGACACTGAGCTTTAGCCATACATTTCTAACTTCTGTCCCTCTACAGAGACAATTTTCTTTTCTTAAATAAACTGTCATGCTAGTGTTAATATATTGTTGGCTCTCTCATGCTCTGAGAATACAGCTGATATAAAACATGTATATGTTAGATTGGTAATAGTATCTTTAGTGTAGCTGACTAGAACAAATGTGTTTCCCTCATGGCTGTGCTAATGTGATAAAGGAAAATTGGCTGTTCATCAGCTTTTGGCTGGGTAAAGACAGTAGAGATGGAACCACATTCTTTTTTATGCATTAATACCATCGAGAACTTTTCACTAGTTATATTTCATGTGCCTGCATGTTGCACAAAGATGTTGTAAAACATGAGATAATGCTACAAATAACAAAGTAGAAAAGCCTGTATCTTTTATAATGATAACAGTCAAACACCAAATGACAGTAACAGGATGTAAAAAATGGGATGCAAAAAAAAAATGCAGCCCTACGACCCAGCCGAGAGGTATATATGCAGGCCCACGAGGAGCTGGTGTGTGGTTTTGGGTCTTTATGTCAAGGCTTTGTTTTATAATTAAGTAAAATGTAACATGGGGTCAGTAGACTTAAAGAACTACGTGGTTTTAATAAAAGCAGATTAGATAGTATGGAGAAAAGCTATATGGAATAACTTTTTGAAGAATTAATATTCCCAAGTAATCATGTTGTTAACTCCCAAGATTGGTTGATTGGTTTGTTTGTTTGGAGAGAGAGGGCTGTTGAAAAGTAAGACAGTCACTCACTCACATAATGATCTAAAGATGTTGGAGAATGGCCTATTTTCATCAATTATTGTGAGGAAATTTTAGGAGAATAGCATTTGCAATGCTTTGATTTCATTGTATTTTTAATTAAAATGTTAGCATCTAGCCTTTCAACTGCAAGACATTGTATTTCTCTCTTTTCCCCTATCCCTACTCCCACCTTCATGTTTTGTTTGCCATTTCAGCACCTTGGCTAGAGCACCAGGAATTCCCTGTACATTCAAGTTAAAAGCACTTGAACAGGACTGTCTGTAGATACTAAAGTTGATATCAAACAGCTGATCAGTTTATTCAGAAATACTTGCCATCATTGAAGATTTTGTATAGATACCATCCATGAAGTAGTCTGCATAACTGTTTGAATTGACTATTCAGGTATCACTGCACACAAATAAAATTTCATAATTCCACAGTTATAATGTAATTGAAAGATCATCTAGCCACAACTCCTGGAACAAATCTGATTGGTTGAATGTTTTATTATTTTATTTATTATTTTTATTTTTTAAAAAGATTTTATTTGAGAGAGAGAGGTAGAACATGAGCGAGGGGAGGGGGACAGGGAGAGGGAGATGCAGGCTCCCCTCTGAGCAGGGAGCCCGTCACGGAGCTCAATCCCCCGACCCGGAGATCATGAACTGAGCTGAAGGCAGATGCTTAACTGACTGAGCCATGCAGGTGCCCCGGTCAAATGTTTTAATAAGATTTCCCTGGAACACATCCATGCTCATTCACATGTGTATTGTCTCTGGCTGTTGTCCTATTACAATAGCAGAGTTGAGCAGTTGTGACCTGGACCATTTGGACCACAAAGTCAAATCACTTGGCTTGCAGATAAACAGTATTTATTCTCTGCCTGTTTACAGAAAAACTGATGTAGAGAGTTGTTAGGTGTCGGATTAATTAGCCTAGAATATTTTTGTCAAATTTTTATATTCTGTATTGGGCAAGTAAGTACAGCTGAGTATCACCAACTATGGTACCAATACTAATAAAGGAAATACTTACAAGAAAAATTTTCTATTAGCAACTTAAATTGTATTATATCCATATATTATACATTTTTGGTATCTCTAGCTTTGAATATTTCTTACTTTTGTATTCATTTCTGTTTATTTCCAAATATGGTTATAACAAATTTAGTATCTAAAGGAACAGCATATTCTCAAAAAAGTTATGAAGGCACGGCAGTCAGAGCTTAAATATATGGGACAAATAATTACATATACCTGTGAATACCCTGGTAGATATCACAGCACAAAACTTTAATATGTAGGTTCATATCTAGATATATAAACACACAGATATATCATTGAGCCATTAAAATAAATTGTTTTCAGTCTTTCCAACTGAGGAAAGTAGTGAAGTAGGAAATTAACTTGAGAAAGAGTGCTGAAATGTAGTTATTATAAAATACAAGGTTACACAATTAAAATAATAATGGTGATAATTTCTTGCAGGTGCATCAGACAAAAATCAGTTTCTTCATCAATGGTTTGGAGGAGGATAATACAGCATTTGATGCAAGAACTCTAAGTGGTTCAATTACAGATTTTGCCTCTGGTACTACACAAATAGGACAGAGTTTGAATGGTAAGATTCTGACTTCAGAAAATTATTTTATCCAGTTACAGTATTCCTAAAGAAAGTGTCAAAAATAATATTTTAAAATATCTAGGTTTATTTGTTTCCTAGGGCTGTTGCCACAAATTAGCAGCAACTGGGTGGACTTAATACAGCAGATATGTGTGCTCTTCCCACAGTTCTGGAGCCTATAAATCTGAAATCAAGGGTTTGCAGTGTTGTTTTATTCTGGAGATTCCAATCAGTTCTGTGCCTCTCTTTCTGGCTTCTGGAAGTCCATAGTGCTCCCTGGCTTGTAGCTTTTTCTGGAGGTTCCAATCAGTTCTGTGCCGCTCTTTCTGGCTTCTGGAAGT